ATGCGTTCTTTACATCTAACTGACAATTAGTCCATCCATATAAACATACCAGTATAGTGAAAAATATTCTTATGATTGAAAAATTTACTACAGGACTGTAAACGTCATCAAAATCTTCACCTCTTTTCTGCCTGAATCCCTGTGCTACTAAACGTGCTTTGTATCTAACCACTTGATTCTTTTCATTTCTTTTTAGCGTATAGACCCATTTGTTTCCTATTATAGTTTTATTTTCTGGCTTTTCGACTAATTCCCAAACCTTTCTTTTCTTCATTGTGTCAATTTCTTCTTTCATTGCCTTATCCCATTCTTCGGCATTTACTGATTTTCGTGCTTCTTTAAAATTTTGTGGGATAAACAATTTCTACGGAATTTGCCTCTTCAGACACGAGCTAGTCTCCTGTTCTACAAAATTAACTTTCGCCGAGTATTCATTTTTTCCACTAAAATCGAACTTATCTTTTTCAAATTTAATATTTCTTGCTTCGCAATACTTTTCAATATCATTATAGGATCTAAAACGGGTGTTTGTTCCCTCTACATAATAATATAAGTCTATACGTGTTCCATCTGGCCTTTTAACTGCTTTTCTTTGCCAGTTTAAGTCTGATACTTCTTTCGGAGTAGATTTGTCATCTGATAACTTTATTTCTTTTCTAGAAGTTTCCTGTTCTTCATCTGATTCTGCTAATCGCTCAGATTCCTCTAGTCTTTTAAATTAGGTTTTTGATTTCTGTTCCAGGATGCCATTTGCTGCATACAGTTTTTCATCGAAACTTCACATTACAGGTTTCTATTAATCTGCGTTCTTCTGGCAGCCATATCCTATAACCCCTAGTTTCCTTCGCATATCCTACCATGATTCCTTCTTTGCACCTCATTTTGTAATTTATTTCTAATCTGTTTTGGCATGCCAACATAGGCTTTACAACCAAATATTTTAAAATAAACAACACTGGGTTTTCTATTTAGGAACATTTCATAAGGGGTTCGGTTGCTTTTATGACATACTCTGTTCCACGTATGTACGAAACAGCCAAGAGCTTCTGCCCACCATTCTTTTCCCATTTTACCATCATTAAGCATAGCTTTAACTGCGTCTAATGCCGTTCGGTTAAAACGTTCACACACACTGTTCTCTTCTGGGGTGTACGCGTTTGCGTGCGTTCAACACTAATTCCATTTTCGGCTAAGTACCCTTCGAATTGCCTGTTACAGAATTCCCCACCATTATCAGGTGCGTATACTTATTAATTTTCTATTCGTCAGTCTTTCCATTTGCCTATGATAATTCTTAAAGTTGTAGAATGATTCGTTTTTATTTTTCATACAATACACTGTTACTAATCTACTATAGTCATCTACAATAGCAAGAAAATATTTACTCCCACCCTTAGATGGAACTGGTAGTGGGCCACAAACGTCTAAATAAACCAACTGCAATGGTTTATCCGATCTCTTCGGAACAGTTTTAAAAGTTATTCTACTAGATTTAGCAATAATACACGGTTCACACCTCTCCATTGGTTTTCCAATTTCTGGTAACCCTTTCACGCTTTGATTCTTACTAGTTTTCTTAATATAATCAAAATTTACGTGGCTAAATCTCCGATGCCATAGCATTGCATCGTCTACTTTATTTAACTTTCCAATTTCTGTACCGTAACCAGCTTCCTTTTATCCTGTTGCATATCTAAATGGTTTTACGTGATAAAGTCCGTCATATCGTTTAGCGTAGCATAATCTATCCCAATTATTAAAGTATATCCACATCTTCCCTTTTGAAATCACAAAATGAGCACCTGCCTTTTCTAACCTTGCTCCCGATAGTAAATTTCTTCTTAGATTTGGATTATATAACACATTATCTAACTCAATCCAATTTATTCGATTGCCTACTTTTACTGCAAATTTGACAGGTACCCTTTCCTAGTACTTTACTTTCACAATTTCCTACAGCTAAAGACATACGTATATCGTTTATTTCTTCGAAAATTTGTCATTAAATTTCTATTATTACAGAAATGAGTTGTAGCTGCAGTATCTACGACCCAATTAAATTTATCTGCGTTACCTCCTTTATCTGTAGTTGTTACATAATTTTCTACTAACATTAATTCTTTATCTTTAAACTGTCCATTTTTATCATTTATTTTAAACTTCTGATTTTAACTTACATTTTCTTTACATTGCCGATCGACCTCCGATCAAAATTTGCATGTGGAAAACTAAAGCCAACAAAAGTATTACGCGCATGCGTAAACGCCCATGCGCATGTGTCAACGCGGCGCATGCGCAGAAATTTTTTATCTTAGAGGTCCGGATTATAGATCATTCCGGATTATGGGTGTCCGAATTAACGACTTTTGACTGTAGTTATGTTATAATTAAAGGTTTTGTTATTTAAAATTAAACTATTCTTTCAGGTGTCTAGTTGATCACACGAAAATCTAGCCATGTCTCTCTATATATTTAATTTATACCCAGTATAACAGCGTGCTGCAGTATCTTAATTTCTTTCTACCCTTTCACGCTTGCATATTTAATCCTCTGAACCTTGCCTTCGCTAGCCTTTTCGACTACTTTGACTTGTCCCACACTTCTGTTCTCATATTTTGTTGCCAGCTGAAACAGGCCATTTAACGATCGGTTATTTCTCAATTCTGTAAAATATTGTATCTTAGGTAATAACCATGAGATCACCATCTCCAATGTTTTACTTTCCTGACCATTGCCATACAACTCACAAAGCTCCATTTCCTTAAAATAAATATAGTTACTTCCTCCCCTCCAGCTGAAATCTGCTATACAGTTCAGTTTTAATTGGTCCTATTTTTTACTAGCAGAAATGATTTTAATACAGTGCATTCCAGTGGGAGATGATGATAGTTATATTAATGATGCTGATTCATATTTAGTTTTATTTTCTCCCAATTTTAACAGCTGTTTTAACAAAAGCATTTTCTATACATACTTGGATTTCATTTAAAATTAAGAATTTCTGCAACAATTAATTTATTATACAATATATATAATCTATTCATTAAAGCCTACATACATTTTAATACAGCACATTAAATAACTTATGCTATTAGCACGGACTAAAAAGCAAAATTACGTCAGATTTTTCATAAAATAGTGGATACATTGCTATTATGCTTTACATTAGTGATGGCTAGATGGAAGGACATATAACTATATCCCATCATCTATGTTTATTATGGCTCTTATTTCATTCAATTAATTCTACCTTTCAAACTGCTGAGTAATAATTTTTGGCTCACACAGCTGAACATACCTGTGAATGCTTGTCACTAGTAGTTAAATTTCACATCTTCCCTGCTTACCAATATTTTAGGGAAATTTTGAAAAGATCTGAAATTAGTTGAAACAAACCTTACCTATGATCACAGTTAATAGCATTTAAAGCCTAAATGGAAGCAGACTCAGTCCCTGGTTTGAAAGAAATTATGGCAAACTTCATTAATTGTATTAAACAGTATATGTATTGAATCTTTTTAAAACATAAACTGCATTATAGCAAATTGTGAATAAGAATAGTCATTGATATCTGACTAAATTTATAACTAATTAATATATCTGTATATTAAATACTGAATTCTAAAAAACAGTCATAAATCTGACTCTTTAATAACTTAAGGTCTGCTAAACACTTTGATTAATTTTAATTGGCCATTGCTACTTTACCCCTTTTAAATATTTTTAAATCCTGCCTCAAATATCTCATGCACTTGAGGTGGAATCATGAAACATTTCTGTATTTCTGATATACTTTTAATAATTCTAATAATTATCTGCTAAAAAAGCAGTTTTTTTCAGAAATTATAAATTACATTTTAAATTCGTCTTTGAAAAATAAATAAGAAGTACATTTCAGAAAACATTATTTCACAGATATAATAAAGGAAACACAAATGTTTTAGTGCGAGGGATAAAAACTAACAATTGCAAACTGAAGTCTCATGCAGATTATTAGAAACAACTACTACAGTAATGCTGCATATGTTTACAAATATCAGTTTGATACATGATAAAGAAAATGTATTTAAAATTACATCAATTAAATATATTATTTAAGATAAAAATTTAAATTATTAAGAAATGCATTTATTAAAGTCACTCAGTTTGTTAAGGAATTAAAATTTGAACAATCAACTAAAGACCTCATGCCACATCAAAAGGTCACTGTTTATCAGAACATTACATCAATCAGATCTTTATATTTGTGTTGGGAAGGAAGGGAAAACAGGTGTTGTGCTGATGCAACGTCAGCAGGAAACGGGTAGTCTCCTTTTTTAGTCATTCCTTTCGATGTTCTGGTTCATGTTCTGGCTGCTTAAAAAATGCCTGTATAGCGAGGTATCTTACATTAGAAGAAGCTCTTCAAAGATTTTTTGATGAAGAAACAGATGATGATAATGTTTATAATGACCAGAATGAAACTGATATTGTTGTTCCCTCAGAAATTGCAGAAGTTAGTGATGAAGAAGAAGGGAATGACAAAGTTTTAAATAATGATATTTTACCAAATGATATTACTGGGGAAGTTAAAATTCATGTAAGAAGTAAGTTTCAGCCTTCTAAAAGCAGTGGTAGTCATACGAAAAAGTTTAAAAAGCAGAAAACTGAAATCTTGAAATGGATAAAAAAGGAACTGTCAGTTATGTGTCAGGAAGAAAATAAAGAAAGAGATAGAACAGAAACTACAAAAGACAAAATACAAGGTAAAACTATTGCACAGATTTTCGATTTTCTGTTTAGTTCAGACATTTACTCTCTTCTCGTTGAACAGACAAATATATACGCTCAACAACAACAACAACAACAACAAAAAAAAAAAAAACTCCCAGAATTTATTGCATCTGAAGCTTATATGGTAAGATTTATTGGAATATTATTGCTAACAGGATATCCTTCTTTACCTCAAGAAGAAATGTATTGGTCTCTTGATAAGGACATTTCATTCCTATTGTACGAGAATCGATATCATGTTTGCAGTACAGGAATATGAAGCAGAATTTGCCTTTAGCTGACAATAATCAAATTGACAATACTGATAAATTACATAAGGTGAGACCGTATCTAAACTTATTAAATATCACAACTTTCTACTGCTGGACATAAAAAGTCTCTTTTAGATTTCAGGCGCTAGATTGCATTATTCCTTTTGCAAACTATTATTGAGAGTGTCGAATTAGCCAGAAATAGATCAGCAATAGGAAGACCTAGTAAATTCAGCATTCAAAACCATTGCATGGAGATGGTAGACATTTTGTTGTAAAATCCGACAATAACAAAAGACTTCGTAGTAAAGAGTGCCATAGCCAGATAGTTTATAGATGCAGAGTATGTAATGTAGGTTTACATCGTGTTTGTAGTGAAGCTTTTCATGCTTGAATCTTTCAATTGAAATAATCTGTATTTGTAAAAGAAATATAATGTATATTTTAATATTAAATTAATTACAAGTAAAGTAATTTGTAGATTTATAAAACCTTACACAGCTATAATCCAGTGCTCCACTCAAAGGAAACATCGCACGAGTACAATCCTATGCACTAAACATCCGTAGTCTTATTCCACTGACGTTGCACGAACGCAACACTCGCTTTTTACACAGGTAAGAGCATTTTTTTAAATTTTCAATGTAAATTGATGTTATAAATGCTTAATTTAATATTTGTTATTATTTTCATGAGAAAAGAACCATTTCTTATAGTTTTGGCGGTTAATGGGTTAAGCATCAAAATCACTTGCATTAACATATTTCATAAAAGCATGGCAACATCTTCATAAAGTGCATAAACTTATACTATCATGCAATATTAATTATCAAAAATATTTTTAAAATACTTTAAATTTCTGTCGTCATTCATCTATATGTCATTTAATTAATTGCCCATCAGTGCACATTCATCCTGTTCATCTAAGCTAAACAAATTTAAAATTTACTCCGATTTAAAAATATCTTTTAATATAGTATAAATACTTAAAATAGAACAAGCTTTTAAATATAAATGAAAAACTCTTCCAAAAGAAGATATTTTAAATTGCAAACTTTACAAAGCTAGGCATAATATGCTATCTCTAATAACTAGATAATTAGTGACTTTCCTCCAAATATTAAAAAAAATTGCACTCAATTATCTTCCGAATACTTAAACCAAATGATTTTATCCTGAAGTGTCTAACATATAGAATTAAAGATAACTTTTTTACCCTTAATAATTCTGAAAATGTTCATAAAAATTACAAGTTGTTTACTATTTGGATATAATTCAGGCTTTAGTGCTATAAAAATATAAATAAAATAGTTTAAAATACATATTACAAATTAAACATGTTTTAGAAAAAAAACTTAAATTACTAAGGTGTGTATCTATTGCTTTGACACCACTCACATTATCGAACAAAACAATTATAAAACAAAAGAATAATTAAAGATCTTATTTCATGTTAAAAGGGTACATTCTAGAGAGTGCTCACAGCAAAGATAAATTATAGATCTTACGTATCTTCTGATGGAAACATTGGGCATGTTATGGTGACAATAAATGCCTCATAAGATTAAATAATTGTATAAAGATTTTTGCAAGATTCTGAAAAAAGCCTTTTAATGTCAAACCATTTTAATGTTTTATGGTCTAACATGTATATATTCAGGTCTAGAACCTATAATTGTAATACACCAAATGAGACTTCTAGATACTACAAAATATTCTTTTCCAGGCTTCAGCATACAGAAAAAAAGAATGTATGATATTTTTTGAAATATTTAAATGAGGAGCTAATTTTTCTTATTTATTACTTGGCTTTAGTTTTTAAAAATAAATTACTACTTTAAATAACAATAATAATTACTTATTGATTGACTGAAATATCTCGCACTAAAAGACTCAGGCTTTATGGATTGTTTCCTGCTCCCTATACTCTGTATAATGTGGCTCAGACGATACCCAAATATCTTGACATACTTTAGTCCTTCGAGATGTCACAGTCCAAGCTGTAGCAGAACTGACAATGGAAGGCAGCACCAAAAAGTATTTATGCTGATATGGTAGTCGGGATTTCAAAAGCACTTGAGTAAAATATAAAGCAGAGAAGGCTAAAAAAGAATATCTTATTAGGAATATCAAATACAATATGAAAAAATATTAATTTTACAGGCAATGAAAAAAAAAAAAAAAAAAAAAAAAAAAAACAAGACCCATTATAGACATAGTTAGACCAAGATGCTGAATTCAAAGAAATATGTGGAAACTCTAGTCATAATTTAGTTCACAGAAATGTACGATATTTTCCAGATTTCACTCAGTGATCAAAATTAAGATGACAATTAAGAGTAAATGAATCAAGAAAATAATACAGTCAAAAGTCGTTAATTCGGACACCCATAATCCGGAATGATCTATAATCCGGACCTCAAAGCTACAAACTTTCTGCGCATGCGTCGCGTTGATGCATGCGCATAAGACCTTTACGGCTGCGAATATGCATGTGCGCATGCGCAAAATACATTTATGAATGCGCGTTTAATGTATAACAGACGGTAGAAGCTAAGCTAAAATTATCTAATTCAGTTAATGTTGCAGATTGCATTGTTCCTTAATCTTCGAATTTGATTCGGCTTATTATTTTTTGCAGACTGTTAGAGCAATTTTATAAAAGTAAGCTTGAACTTTCGATTATGTCAAATAGAATTTCTGATATGTATTTACTAATATGTAAAAGATCTACAAAGCGAAAGTATGTTTCGAAGTATTGCTTAGTATGAGCTTGGCATTTTCAGCATGACCATTCATGCAGTTTTAAAGTGAAAGTTTTGGAACTACTTTGATGTGCGTCCTCAAGTGGCCAAATTTCGCGCCAAATATTTTTGGCGAGAAACTTCACGCTGCCATATTACTATCTAAAATTTTTGTCTACATTTCGAACTTTTAGCCTAAAATGTCTCCAAAAACACGGTTTCCGCACATGCAAAAACTACGTTTTCAACATACAATTTAGCTAAAAATCCGAAAGAAAAACAAAAAATTTAGATAGCAAAAACGTAAAGTTTCTAACCAAAAATATTTGACAAGAATCCATGTACACGGCGACATATTTTAACTTAAAAAAACATCTACGAATGGCACAATGTAGGCAATGAACGAATCTACAAACTATGCACACCTCGCTTTAATAAATTAACATAACAACAATAAATTTCAAATAATACCATGCACACAGCATTCTGTTTCAACTTTAAAAAACATCTACGAATTGCACAGTCTAGACACTAAACAACAAAATAAATTTCAAACAATTTAAAAAAACAACAATAACGACAGAAATTCATACTAAAGAACCAATGAACATAACATTCTACAAAATAAGAAGAAGGATAAAATAAATGCACTTACCATGAATTAATGCGTTTTCGAATAGCAGAAATATAAATTTCATACCGCCTTTAACATGCCGCGACGTAATCACTATCGTATTTACATGACAGCCAGACACACTATCCAGAAAATTTATACTATGGTTCACAAATAAATAAAATCACAAATCTCTACTTCTATCATGCACTGCCATTAAAAATAATCTCCCAGACCCTTTTTCCACACTTCCAAATACCCACTACCCCTCAACAGGATAGCCACAATGATATTTCCTTTTGCCGAACTTCAATTCAATAACTACCATTTTATCTTTCCCTCCCATCTTCTCAGACACATAGGCGAATCAACGAGTTCCAGCGAAAGATTTTTCAATGACAACAGTGTTGCCATAGAACACGCAATTGTGCCAAAAACCAGCGCAGAACACATATCGCCACATTTGGTGAAATTAGGGCATATATTAGAGTTGTACCAAAGTTTTAACTGTGTTGTTTCAGGAAATGGAAGAGAATGAATTTGATAGTTTTAACCAAAGACTTGATCTCAATGCAGACAAATCTCGTTAGGTGAGTTACCTCCTTTTCCCCTCATTCTACAATACTTTCGAAAGCTGACCACTTTAAATTTCTTAAATGATTTAATTGCTCTGTCTATTTTTTTCAAATATTAAATACAGTATGAATAGAAATCCAGAAACTAATTCATAAGTCATTCTCTCTATGGATGCTATGAGTTCTATCAATCATATAACTACAGTCAAAAGTCGCTAATTCGGACACCCGTAATCCGGAATGATCTATAATCCGGACCTCAAAGCTACAAACTTTCTGTGCATGCGCCACGTTGACACATGCGCATAGGCATTTACGTGTGTGCATAAGACCTTTTACCACTGCGCATATGCATGTGCACAAGCGCAGAATATGTTTTTGCGTGCGCGTTTTATGTATAATGGATGGTATAATCTAAAATTATCTAATTATCTATTTCAGTTAATGTTGATGATTGCGTTGTTCCTTAATCTTCAAATTTGATCCGGCTTATTATTTTTTGCAGACTGTAAGAGCAATTTTATAAAAGTAAACTTGAACTTTTGATTATGTCAAATAGAATTTCCGATTCTGGAGCTCCCAAAGGATCGTACAAAACAAAAGTATGTTTCGATGTTCATCAAACAAAAAGTGGAATTGCTGCAAAAAATGGATAAAGACATGAAGAATGTGACAGAGAGGTTAGTGAAAACGAAAAAATTTCGATTGACAAGTTAGTCGGTATTCTCGGCACAAAAATTAACGGGACTTGAACAGCGGAACTTTGTAACTGAACAAGAAAATGTGTCTGTTTATAGAATTAAAGAGAAAGTATTATCACATAAAACGAAGCAACTTAAAACAACTTACATTGTAAGAAATGTTTAATAAAGTAAACAAATAAATATTAAGCTTTTTTTTTGTAAATTTTGATACCCTTTAGATTATAATTGTTCTTTACTTCATAAATTAAGGTTTCATATTTTTAATTTTAGAATTTCTGCATGCCATCTTACGAGATTTAAACTGATGATCTATAATCCGGAAAAATCGATAATCCGGAATCGCTGAAGTCCTGACGAGTCCGGATTAACGACTTTTGACTGCATAACCTACAATTACTTGATTATTGAACATATTTCTGGACACAAAAAACATCTCTATTACTGCAACATTAATAACAATTACAGAAAATAACATTACAACAATAATTACAGAATTCTACTATTTGGATATTAAGATGATAAATAGAAATGGTGTTTACTCAGTGCAAATGATGACAGGCCGGTAAACAGAGCTCTGGTCATACATTCGGTATATGAGGCAAAACCCTGGAATAAATTTAAATGCATTAAATACAGCTTATTATTTAAAAATTAAATGCATAAATTATTAATAATATTTAACTTATAGACAGAGTACATTATTTTAAATTAATAAATCCAGGTACTTTCTAATTATCCGCACGCCAACTGAAAGTTTGCAACTTCCAAAGTTACAAACATGTTAGCAACTTTGGAAAATTGTTGGCGACTTGGGAAAAAATCGCGTTTTTGGGTATTTTTATAAATGTATATATATTTTAACAATTCATCAACCAAAACCTATTTTTTTTTTCAATATAGAAGAATGTTCTTCCTATGTATTATTTATGTTATGAACAGTTTTTGCTTTAAAAAAAATCAAAGATTTGCACAAACTGAGCAAATTTTGGCATTCAACAGTAGCCATGATAATAATCGCCCAAGACCAACTGAAGATTCAATACACTCTAACAAAACACTCCAACATAATGAAAATTAAAAAGGGCAAACTTCTGTTACGATTCATTATGCCAAAAACAAATGTACTTAATGGTGGTTTAAAAATAATAATAATAAATAAATAAATAAATAAATAAAAATAATAATAATGATATTATTATAATTTTAAAAATAATATAATAAATAAATAAATAAATAAATAAAATAATAATAATGATTATTATTATTTTTATTATTTATATTGTATTGTCAGTTTGTACATTATTATTTGTACATTTGTACATTATTAGTTTGTACATTATTTGTACTCTCAGTTTGTACATTTATTATTTGTATTGTCAGTTTATAATGTCAGTTTGTACCTAGGCTGCCACATGAGTACTTTTTGGAGACACGATACACTGCCCCGTCAACACCTTTTCATGGCTTTCCGTTACGGTGCAGATAATTAGAAAGTAATTAAATCACAGACAATCTAATAGATTCAAAAGAATAGATTTTAAAGTAACTTTATTCATTTATGGTTCTTGTTAAATCAATTTTTAACATTGTTAATTTTTGCTTGCAGCTTTTTTTTTATACCTAGATATAAAATTCATTTTCTGGTCAATATTATTATGTACAGTAGTTAAACATTCACGTATTTATATTAAAAAAATTTGATATTTATTTTATCACATTTAATGCTTTTAAACACATAAATATGAAGTAGAAATATTTTTATAATCTGAGGTCTACTACCCCTCTTCCTTATGTCTTTTTTTCCAGTCTTAAATAATATAAACTTAAATCTTGATCTTAAATTATTCACATCTAAATGATTATTTAAATAAAAAATACTAATCCTTTTTTTTTATCAGCCTGCCTCTGTGGAGTCTAATTGCAATAAATCGCTATATTAAATTCAGTAAAAATATATCAAACTTTATAAACATCACTTTTCTGTTTTACAGGATTACTTGAATATTCATGATGAATTTAGGAAAAACTTTAACGCTACTATTTCGAAATTCATCGCTACAGTAAAGAACATTTGTACCGGAACATTCTGAACGCAACAGTAATTCTGATTGAACCGTACAGTGATTCTGAACAGTAATTCTGATTAACACCGTCATTAATTTATGATGAAACTCAAGAAATAAAAATACAACTTCTTAACATTTCAGTAGCGCGAGTAACTTTCTCTTCCAAATTTATCACCTATTAGAATTCTAAACCTGCCTTAAATTTTTCACTATACTGTTCCTTCACTTGCTTGAAATTATTCATTTCGTGCACTGCAGCAGACGAAATTTGTAGGTTACGGTTGAATTGAATATTTTAGTATTTATTGGTTCTGACTGCAATTAATTCTTATCAGAATTGTAATCTAAAAATAAAAATTAAGAATAGCTTGTTCTTAAAATTAAATTTTTATATCATGTTCCATTATAACAATTTTATATCGAATATATTATGCGTTATTTGAAATTTCATTAAAAATAAAATTTTGCTTTTCTACTATTAGGTATTGTTTATTTAACTGAGACCGCAGAGCGCTTTTCACGTTATTTTTGCCTTTTTTGTTTTTGGTTCTGAATTTGTCAAGCATGATAATTTATGATCTGGATTAAATAGAGCTTTAATGGATTACCAATAATTTTGAGTTAGTATCTGTTGTCTTCCATCCCCCCGATTTTACGTAAATTTTGAGACTTTATTATTCAAAATAATCTTTGAATGATCAAATGTATTTTCTCAATTCTTTTTAATTATCGAATTGCTTCAAAACTGCCGGTTTGTGTATGTAACTCAGAATATAAGGAAACTTTATATAAACTTTATATAAGTCTAAAGGTAGCAATGGGATTTAAAATTAGAAAATCCTGATAAGAAAGTATACAGAGTTAACAAATCAAATCCAGCTCTTAATCACGAATCGTGCATCAAAATTTACTCTGTGACTACTAGCATTATAAGTAGAATTATATTTTCTGCGTCTGTTTATTCTGTAGATTTTAATGGATCGATGAAAAATAGCGCAACGAAATAAGCATACTGCATTTTGATTTTGTAAACTGAATTTTAATTTTATTTAGAAAAAGTTTTTTGAAATGTAGAAGAAAGTATTTATATTCATGTACTGATAAAAATTAGCTGACCTTTTTCTAGTCTTATGTTGTAAATAAGTTTAATAATTGATGATCTCATTCGTATGATTATGCGTATGTTATACTCCTTCACATTGAATAAAATTTTTTTTCTTAACTTTTCACATTATTTACTTTATGCAAAAATTTTAAATGTTAATTTATGCATGTTTTTGTTTTAGTTTAATTACATTAGTTTTCTTGGATATGGCTGGTATTAAAACTCAAGCTTTAAAATGTAAAGATCTTCATGATTATCTGAAAACTTTATCAGCAGCAACGCTTGAAAAGTTGTATAACCATCCTGCAACTTGCTTGGCTGTGTTCAGGTAAATAACATTTAATTAGCTCTTATACATTTAAATAACTGTTATATATTTTACTGTATTTGAAAATGTAATCAAAGCTTCCTGCTGTTTACTGTATATCTTGACTCTCACTTAAGTAATGATTTCTTCCATTACATTTGTTATTACTAAACTCTAAAAAATTTTTTATTCCTCTTCTTTTCTAATCTGTTGCTTGGTTCTAAGTAATTTAAAATGAGAAGAAATTATACTTCTTATCCATTTGTCATCAACATTATGAACAATTACTGATAAAAAATTATTTTGTTTCTTATGAAGAAGGACCTGTATCTAATTTCTATGACATCTACTGTTTTATTTGAAATATACACTAGTGCTTTTTGCCTAATTTAAAATTGTACTTTGATGAGTTCCTCTTTGAATTATATTTATATCTGTATTAATTGCTAATAAAAGTAGCAATTTTGCAATAAGTGCAGTAGTTAACTGTTAATTACCTGGCCTATAGCAACTGAGGTCTCTGTTAACTGAGCTGGCAATCTGTTTAATGAAATAATTGGTAAAATGTAATATCAGAAACAATATGACAAAATCAGTAATTTTCATGCTTTTTATCTATGATTGATGTGTCTTGTCAAAGATGAGTCATTTGGTTATCTTCGTAAAAAATATGACTATATATGTATTGAAAATGAAAGCAACACTCATTGACAGCTAATTCTTAGACATATTTCAGAGGGTAAAAGGGGAGAATTTCGTATTAAACAATTCACCTTGTTGAACAAAAAAATTGACATAATTTCAAATTTAATCTTTACTAGCAGCTTCACTGCCAGCCTTCGTCTGGCTTTTAAATGTACCGAAAAAATGGCTGAAGGCAACACCAAACGTTAAATTTAGAAACTGCATAGAATTTTACAACTTCAGAAAAGGAACAACAGAACAACTTCATAACAAGAAAGATATTATGTATAACAAAATTACAATGAAATAAGCAATATCCCTCAATACAAATATTAATTATCCTAATAAATAAATTAACCAACTTCCCTTTGCAAAATCGGCTGATCTTTGGAATATGGTAACTGGTAGTTTGGCGTCATTTTGGAGGCGATAAAGGTTACTACCTAGGACTTTGGTAATAATGTGAGAAGTATTCAGTTCCGATTACGCATTATTTTGTGTGAGGGAAATGAGAGATCATGAGATATGTCATGTGACATTAATGGACGAATTACAGTTCTTTAATCGGAAAAGGGGGGGAATTTGGAAAACTGTAGTACTATATTATTTTGTATTAAGCTTCATTGTGTGTTGTGTGAAATAGTGGAAGTGTGCGTGCCACGTAATGAAGATTCTGAAGATTAGGTAAGTTAGTATTTTTAATCATTTGTGGATATTATTTTTATGCATTTTTCTAAATGTAAGGAGTAAATAAATTAATATGGTATTATTGGAAAATTGTTATTAGCAATGATTTAGTTTAAAGTAATTAGGATTGTAATCTAATTTTGGTTGATCTTTGGATTATGGTAACTTGGCGAAAATTTGGTGACCAACTCTGCTACAGCAACCCTCTATTTTTTTTTTCAGCCACCATTTTGTCTTCACGAAGTAAAGACATGTTTCTTTTCTTTTTATTTACTGAACACTTTTTCCAACAATCTACTAGCCAAATTACACTTATACTAGAAATTTATCTAACAAAACTGCTTAATCATGACAAATATTCACTGCAAAATTGGAAAAAAGTGCACAATCGCAAACTCCTTGCGCGTTTTTCACAATGACACATACACATAAACCATGTACACGTCGACTTATTTTTACTTAAAAAAAAATCCCAGAATTGCACAAAAATGGCATTGCGCACACTCTTCACTATATCCATGTACACTGCTTTTTTCTCATAAATTAGAAAAATTTCACGAAAATGCATGACAATTTTCTGAATCTTTAAACCCGGTAAAAAGAACATATATGAAATAACCTTATCGCGGAAAAGTATATAACCTTTCCAAATATGAACATTTCCACGTATAAAATAAACAAAATATCTAAAAACTTTTACCTCTAAATTATCTATTATATTATAAACGTCACCAACGAATTCATACCGCAAACATTACAAATACTTAAATTATTTCCATGCATGTTTACTTCAACTAAAACATATACCAAATTCCTACAAACATAAAATTCACAAAATAACTATCATTTAATTAAAATATCACTAAAACATGTACACGTCAACTTATTTTTACTTAAAAAAACATCTCAGAATTGCACAAAAATGGCATTGTGCACACTCTTCACTATATCCATGTACACTGCTTTTTTCTCGTAAATTAGAAAAATTTCACGAAAATGCATGAAAATACTCAATGTATACTACTCAAACATATTCCAAAATACTACAAACATATAACTCACAAAATCACGATCATATATATCATATATCACAAAATATTATATATATATAATAATATTAAATTAAAAAAACACTACTTAAAATATAAATAAGCACATACATTAAATTAATAAAATTAGATTACAATCCTAATTACTTTAAACTAAATCATTGCTAATAACAATTTTCCAAATAAAACCATTTTAATTTATTTACTCCTTACATTTAGAACAATGCATAAAAATAATATCCTCAAATTATTAAAAATACTAACTTACCTAAACTTCTTCAAAATCTTCATTACGTCGCTGCAGTACTACTGCTAATTTCTAAATCCTAAAACCAGTAGTCTACTGGAAGTCTATTCATTAAGTAATAAGAAATTAATAAAATTTCACCTATACTCAAACTACTTTCAGCAAACCACGTACCCTTCCTTACACTCCTTTTCACAAAATGTCCATTTTCACCATATTTCTTGCACCACCATTTAAACTTGTAATATCCTTCCTTTCACACAATCTCAACTTATTATTATTATCATCAGATAAATGCATTAAAAATATAGAATTCACTTTACATAGCGCCATGCAATCTGAAAATTAATCAACACTATTTCACACAACACACAATGAAGCTTTTCCAAATTAAACCCCTTTTCCGATTAAAGAACTATAATTCGTCCATTAATGTCACGTTTCACACAACACAGAATATAGCTAAATACGAAATTTCCAGATTTCCCCCCTTTTCCGATTAAACAACTGTAATTCGTCCATTAATGTCACATGACATATCTCATGATCTCTCATTTCCCTCACACAAAATAATGCGTAATCGGAACTGAGTGCTTCTCACATTATTACCAAAGTCCTAGGTAATAACCTTTATCGCCTCCAAAATGTCGCCAAACTACCAGTTCCCATATTCCAAAGATCAGCCCTAATTTTTATTAATTTAATGTATGTGCTTTATCTTTATTTTAAGTAGTGTTTTTTAATTTAATTATATTTTAATTTAATGATCGTGATTTTGTGAATTATATGTTTTTAGTATTTTGGAATACGTTTGAGTAGAATACATTGAGTATTTTCATGCATTTTCGTGAAATTTTTCTAATTTATGAGAAAAAAGCAGTGTACATGGATATAGTAAAGAGTGTGCGCAATGCCATTTTTGTGCATTCTGGGATGTTATTTTTTAAGTAAAAATAAGTCGACGTGTACATGGTTTTAGTGATATTTTAATTAAATGATGTTATTTTATGATTTTATGTTTGTAGGAATTTGGTATACGTTTTCAGTTGAAGTAAACGTCCCGAAATAATTAAATATTTGACACTAATATTTGTAACCATTTTTAATGTTTTGCGGTATGAATTCTTGGTGACGTTTATAATATAATAGAGGTAAAAGTTTTTTTATATTTTATTTATTTATCGTGGATGTGTAAAAGATAAATTTTTGGATATATTTCGGATTTGATTTTTTTTATGTTTTGACGTGTTGGTTTAATATTTAAAATGATAGTTATTTTGTGAATTTTTTGGGATTTGGTTACGTTCAGTTGAAGTAACGTTTTGGAAATAAATTAAAATTTGACACTAAGTATTTTTAACCATTTGTGTTTGCGGTATGAATTCTTTGGTGACGTGTTATAATATAATAGATAATTTAGAGGTAAAAGTTTTGGATATTTTATTTATTTATACGTGGAAATGTTCATCCTTGGAAAGGGTATATACTTTTTCGCGATCAGGTAATTTCATATATGGCTTTTTAGAGTTTAAAGATTCACAGAATTTTTTTGCATTTTCGTGCAAATTTTTGTAAATTATGAGAAAATAGCAGTGTAGATGGATAAAGTTAAGAGTGTGTACAATGCCATTTTTGTGCAATTCTGGGAGGTTTTTTTTAAGTAAAAATAAGTCGAAGTCGACGTGTAAATGGTTTATGTGTATGTGCTTTCTGAAAACGCGCAAGGAGTTTGAGATTGTGCACTTTTTCCCAATTTTGCTGTTAATATTTGTCATGATTAAGCAGTTTTGTTACATAAAATTTCTAGCATAAGTGTAATTCGGCTAGTAGATTGTTGGAAAAAGTGTTCAGTAAATAAAAAGAAAAGAAACGTCTTTACTTCGTGAAGACAAAATGGCGACGAAAAAAAGAAATAGAGGGATGCTGTAGCAGAGTTGGTCGCCAAATTTTCGACAAAAAATAGCCAAGTTACCATAATCCAAAGATCAACCGCAAAATCTTAAGAACTCAAATAGTATAAAGGAGGTTAAGAACTTTGTTTCCTAAAAAAATCACTCAAAACTTTTCAATATCTTAAAAACAGTGAAATGAGCAATAAATAACATAAAAGAATACAAAAAGCAAAAAATTCTAAAAAGCAAAGTATAATTAATGATATTTTATCTTTTATTTTCAAGAGAAAAAAATTGCAATGAAATAAGCTATATTCCTTAATACAAATATTAACTATCCTAACAAAAAAATTAACCAACTTTCCGTTGAAAAAAAAAAAATCATGCAAAACTTTTCAATATCTTACAAACAGTGAAATAAGCAAATACCTTTACGCATGTGCATAATACGTTTATGCATGCATGTTTAATGTATAATGGACGGTATAAACTAGGCTAAAATTATCTAATTATCTATTTCAGTTAATGTTGCAGATTGTGTTGTTCCTTAATCTTCTAATTAATCTTCCTTAATAATCAGCTTATTATTTTTTGCAAAATGAGCAATTTTATAAAAAGTAAGCTTGAACTTTCGATGATGTCAAAAAGAGTTTCCGATTCTGGAGCTGCCAAAGGGTCTACAAAGTGAAAGCATGTTTCGATATCCATCAAACAAAAAGTGGAATTGCTGCAAAAAATGGATAAAGGCATGAAGAAAGTGACAGAGAGGTTAGTGAAAAGGAAAAAATTTTGATTGACAAGTTAGTCGGTATTCTCGGCACAGCAATTACAGGACTTGAACAGCGGAACTTGTAACTGAACAAGAAATTATGTTTATAGAATTAAAGAGAAAGGATTAGCACATAAAACGAAGCAACTTAAACAACTTACATTGAAAGAAATGTTAATAAAGTAAACAAAATAAATATTAAGCTTTTTTTTTTTTTGGTAAATTTTGATACCCTTTAGATCATAATTGTTCTTTATTTCATAAATTATAGTTTCATATTTTTAATTTTATAATTTCTGCATGCCATCTTTCCAGATTTACATTCATGGTCTATAATCCGTAAAAACCCCTAATCCGGATTTGCCGAAGTCCCGACGAATCCGGATTGAAGACTTTGTACTGTATATATTGTATATTGTGGAAATAATTTTTTAGCAATAATTTAATATTTAACGTTATATATGCTGCTTCTATCTTAGAATTTAAATTGCACTGGAGCTTGACTGTACTTCTCAGTTTTTTAGATAATTTCTAATTCTAGTCAAAGCATACTGGAACCCTAAATAAAAGGGCTCCAGCACTTCTCTTTTGTAACTGAACTACAATTTTAACAAAAAATTCTTTTGATATCGAAGATTTATTTTAATCACATGCTGTATAAAAAACCAATTCTGTCTTCTGAATGCATGCCTCTTTGTATAAAAAAATACTAAAAAAAAGTAAAGGTACTTCATTTGTAATAACCACTGTGTTCTGGTAATATTTAATATTGCCTTTATTTCAATTTGTTCTTATAAATGTTAATTTTCATTTCAGAGAACTTCCAACTTTAGCCAAACATTATATCACTCGTTTGTTATTTGTAGAGCAACCTGTGCCTCAAGCTGTTATTGGATCATGGTTAGGACAGCAGTTTGTAAAGTAATACATTATATATTTTTAAATTTACCACTTGTTTCAAATATTTATGCATCATCTATTTTCAATGTATTCATTTTTATTGCATTTTAATACTTTTAATTGTACTTCAATAGAGAACATTTGGAAGCTGTTGAGTCATTATGTGAACTTCATTTGTATAAGGAATATCCTGTGCCAGGTGGTTTACCAGGATGGGCACTTAATGCTACTTTCAGAAAGAACTTGAAAAATGCACTACTTGGAGGGTGAATATATTAAATGCACTTAAATATATTAATTGTATTTTTGTGCATTTATATTATTTATTTATTTCTGACTTCTGCATTTTTAAGAGATTTACATTTTTTAGCTTTTTAACTGAAGTGTCACTTATCAATGTATTGCCTGTATTCATTATTTATTTCTGACATTTTTCTTTATAAAATTTCTGAATTTATAAGAGATTTATATAATTTTAGCTTTTTAACTGAAGTGTCACTTATTACTGCGTTTTTCTCCCATTCTCTCATTTTGCTCGTTTCACTGAATTATTGCAAAATGGGGATTTTTCACATATTTAAAAGTTAACAAAGTATATTGCATGAGTATCTTGCAGTATGTACACCTTGAAAAAAAAAAAAAAAAAAAAAAAAAAAAAATTTGGACAGTTCTATATGTTTTGTTCTACTAGACCTGTTGAATTTTAAGTTGTGTTTTCCATGTCTTATTTCCTACTTAGAATATATACATACAACATTATTCTAACATATATATTTATTTTGACAAAAAATCGGACATTTTCTGAAATAACATGCCAGTTTTTCTCCATATTTCAATTCTATGACTCAAATTATGTCCAAGTATCAAATTTTGTAAAATCTGGTGAGAAACTTACCGAGAAATTAAAAAATTTATCTCTCTGCACTTTTTCCCATTTGCACCAAGAATAATTCACTTGGCAAACTTCTTAATATATAGCAACTATTTTCCTTTCCTATTTTTCTTTGTGCATGATTGGGGAAAAAAAAAGTGTGTAAGATAAAAAATATGTGAATAAAAATTATAATTTAAACTAACTGTAAAACATTAATGCTCCCTCTCTATTCTAAAAACCACAATAACTTCTCTGGATTGCGTCATTGCTAGATCAGTCTATAGCCTGCGCAGCTCTGATAATGCAATAATTGGGAACTGAAACTACCACTGTAAACCAAAACTTTTCTCTTTTACATGCATCCATTTTCATAACTATGCACTTCAGCTTCTGTCTGTAATTTCTGTCTGTAAATGTCTGTAAAAAAACTAATTTTTTCAGGGTTCGTACTGTCCTTAAAAGTCCTTAGGTGTTTTGGAATCGATTTTTGGTTCTAATTTAATTTTAAGTCCTTAATTTTAGCCAAAATTGGCAAAGGGTCCTTAATTTTAGTTCTCTGAAATTTCTGTCTTGTTTTTACGACTGCTGTTTTGAGTGTGAATTATCATTATGGAGGAATATTTTTGACAATTCACTGACAAATATGATTATCTTTTGAATGGGTTCATTTATAATTTGTTCCTATTTCTAATATAAAGGGTGGGATACTGAAATTTCTGAGCAGAGTCAAATTTGCTCTGTCAATTTTTCAAATTTCAAATTTTTCAAAGAGTCATTTCAAAATTATTTCATTTTTTTTCTATTGAAGAGCATTTAAAGAACTTTCTGCTTTTGGAGATGTGAATTCATTTATTAAACGGCTCTAAATTTGACGACTTCTCAACATTTTGGCGATTTTAAGGTTAATTTCTATAGAAAATTTTTAATTCAGAGATCTGGGAATTTTTCGACGATTATTTTTAGAAACATTATAACACTGATAAATTTAACTAAAATAATGGTAATATATTTAAATTGCATTTAAGGAATAACATTAAAATAAAACATTTTTATTTTCTTTGCTGTCATATTATAAAGTGGCATAGCTCTCCATTTTGGCGACTTGTTATATAGTATTAATTCAGAAGTCAAGTAACAAAAATCAGCATTATATTTCCAAATTTTCACAGGACTAGTTTCAATGGTTTTACTGAACCATCATCCTCACCTGCAAAAGTGCAAATGAAAAAGCTAGGATATAATGATTATATAAGATAAGATAGCCTGGACAGATCTATTTTATTATGAGAAAGTTATTACAAAAACAGAGTTCAGACATAACTTGATTAAATTTTAATTCAGTTTATTCAACTTCCATTTCCTGATAGGTCCTTAATTTTTTTCATTAATGGTCCTTTAAAGTCTTAAAAGTACTTAATTTCCATATGCAGAAATGTGTACGAACCCTGTTTTTTGCAGGTATGCTTAGAAATACATATATTTTAAGATGACATTAAAAATTTTATAGGTTATAATTCAAAATTTTTTTCAAAAAATTTATAAAAAATATTTAAAAGTAAATCATAACTAATGGGCAAATTTTATTTAGAATGAACCTAAATTTTGAATTGTGAAAGGAAGAATCAAATAAGTTTTTTTAACAAATAGTGACGTATGTATGAGACTGACCTGTTCTTAACATAGTAAGAGAATTTTCTCTTTAGTTTTTTTACCTAATTCCCAATATAGTCAAAAGTCTTTAATCCGGACTCGTCGGGACTTCGGCGATTCCGGATTATCGATTTTTCCGGATTATAGATCATCAGTTTAAATCTGGTAAGCTGGCATGCAAAATCATAAAATTAAAAATATGAAACCGTAATTTATAAAATAATGAGCAATTATGATCTAAAGGGTATCAAAATTTACCAAAAAGAAAGCTCCTAATATATTTTGTTTACTTTATTAAAAATTTCTTTCAACGCGCGGATGCGTAAAGCATACCTTACGCATAGCCGAAATTAGAAAATTGCAACCAGAAAACTATTTGATTTGTATTCGTGATATTTATAATGACGAGGAATTTGATTTAAATCATATCAAAGACGGAGTACATCGAAATTAAATACTACATTTAGTAAGGAATTATAAGCCGAATAAAATAAAAACATCTGCCCTGAAGATAACGATAGTGTTGACAGATCAACTTCCAGTTCATTGCGCACCACGACGTCCCCCCCCCCCCCCGCGCAAAGCAGCGTGAAATTGATAAACGGATTTCGGAACAGTTAGATAAACAAAGGTTATGCTTTTATCCATTTTTTGTAGCAATTCGTTTTTTGTTTGATGGACATCGAAACATACTTTCGTTTTCAAGATCCTTTGGGAGCTCCAGCATCGGAAATTCTATTTGACATAATCGAAAGTTCAAGCTTACTTTTAGAAAATTGCTCTTACAGTCTGCAAAAAATAATAAGCCGGATCCAATTCGAAGATTAAGGAACAACGCAATTATCAACATTAACTGAAATAGATAATTAGATAATTTTAGCTTATACCGTCCGTTATACATTAAATGCGCATGCGAAAACGTATTCTGCACTTGCGCAGACGCATATGCGCAGTCGTAAATGTCTTGCGCACACGAGTAAAACGCCTATGCACATGCGTCAATGCGGCTCATGCGCAGAAAGATTTTAGCATTGAGGTCCGGATTATAGATCATTCCGGATTACGGGTGTCCGAATTAACGACTTTTGACTGTACTATTATACTATAGATTTAATGCTTCATAACTTGCTGTTGGTTTACATGTTCCAAATCATATGCTATTTGTTGAATATTCTGTGCTTTATAGAAGCTTTTATGGTACTTTAAGAAAATCCCATTCATTTTTTGTCTATTAAAGAAAAGACACCAAATTACGCGATTTTTCGCCAAAAATAGAAAAGTCTTCTTCAAATATGCTGGGTTTGGTGTAACTTACATGTTTTAGTTATTATTCTTGAGTAAAGACTCCTTTTTTCCCCTCTATCACACATTTTCGAATAAAAAAAAAAAGATTAAAAATTGCGACCTATCTACTACAGAAGAGTATGCTTTTGAATATTTCCAAAGTTATGCAATCTCACTGGCCTCAAAAAAATGTGTTAATGGCCACGAAATGGCGCTTTATTTAAAAACTGAAAAGCAGTGGCATTGCAATGTTAAGGCTTCTGTGAAGCGAGTGTAAATTTGAAAGGAAACGTGGTTTGAGTGTTCTACTATTTCATTTTTGACTGCACTCTGATTCATTTATAGTTGGCACAGAGAATTGACGACTATTGAATGGGGAAAAGAGGAATTAGAGTTAAGTGACAAGACTGTTATAAATTGGAAAATTACCTGAGAGAAGTTTGCACACACAGCCTTTTATCAAGGCCATAAATTTGAAAGAAAAATAAGAATAGAACATTTTTCTTGTATTTAGTAAATGGGTTTTTTTGCTTTGGTATGATTGGCGGCGTCTCTTGTGGTCGATGGGATTTTCCGTAAGTATCGCATAAACTAGTATCAAACTTCTAACATACTTGGAGTAAATTATCATTGTACCAAAGTCTTCAAAAGGTTTAAAATAACCTTTTATTAATACAAAATGTGACTATAAATGCTGTTGTTGGACATAAATGAACATCTTGTACTTGACAAAATCAACCACCACTTACATCGATGTAACTTAAAGAAACAGTCAGATTCAAATTTAAGACTTAAACTTTATAATCTAAGATTGATTTTAAAATCAAAATTGACTGGGAACCTCTTAACAATTAAATGTTGGCAGCAAAAAATGCAAAGCCAAAGAATGACAATCTTATCAGAGCTCATGAAACCTAGTAACATGGCCCTAAGAGACAAACACACTGTGTCTTACAATCCAAAACCCTCAAATATTCTTTAACTCATTTACATTTCTGGTGAGAAAATGGAAAAGAGAAATTATAGTAAAGATCTAAATCATAATAACTGGTTAATTAAAAAAATAATAGCCCTACAATCTAATGGTGAGTTGGAACTGAAAGGGGAAAACTGTACAATGCATATCATTTCTAAGGACAATATTTAAAGAAAACATGTGAAAGGTTAAAAAGCATATGTAAATAACACATGTTACTGTATTATCTATGTCAAAGGATTCACTTATGATTATGGTGTTCAACGCTGCTCTTTTTATTTCCACATTTTTTGTTCGCTAGGGCAAATTGTACTATTGGATTGTGATTTAACCATTGTATATTTATTAACGCAATTATTACAGTACTCAAATTCTATTTCAATAAATATAACATGTACATTGCAACCTTGGCACATTGCAAGTAATATAACAAGGAGAATACATTTTAATAAAACAGTTTACATACATAAAGGTTCTGTTAATCCATTTCATCCCTTGCTTTTTATAAATTAATCTTGGAAGCACTATTTGCACAGTAGTGTCCTCATGGGAAGATAGTGAAACATGGCCTCTTCAAATTAAGGTTCATCATCTATGTAGCATGGAATACTGCTTTTAAAATATTTGACTTAGTGTATCTGAACAACTTTCATAATGATGCTGGCACTATTTGCTTTGGTTTGTAAAAGTGCCACCTAATTATAGTTGTGACATTTTATCTTTGTCGAAATTAGAGTCACCATTCCAATTCCATAGAGAGAAGTTAATGCAAGGATGAAGATGACATGCCTGGTTTTATATCTGTTACTAATAAGATTGGAAGTACAGTCAAAAGTCGTTAATCCGGACTCGTCGGGACTTCGGCGATTCCGGATTATCGTTTTTTCCAGATTATAGATCATCAGTTTAAATCTGGTAAGATGGCATGCAGAAATTACAAAATTAAAAATATGAAACCGTAATTTATGAAATAAAGAACAATTATGATCTAAAGGGTATCAAAATTTACAAAAAGAAAAAGTTTAATATTTATTTGTTTACTTTATTAAACATTTCCTTCAATGTAAGTTGCTTCGTTTCATGTATAATACTTTCTCTTTAATTCTATTAAACAGACATAATTTCTTGTTTAGTTACAAAGTTCCGCTGTTCAAGTCCTATAATTGCTGTGTTGAGAATACCGACTAATTTGCCGGTTTTCGTTTTCAATAACCTCTGGGTCACTTTCTTCACTATCGGAAGCGAATTATAATGACGAGGAACTTGATTTAAATCATATCAAAGAGGGAGTATATCGAGATGAAATACTACACTTAGTACGGATTTATAAACCAAATAAAATAAAAACATCTGCTCTGAAGATAAGGATAGTGCTGACAGATCAACTTCCAATCCGCAGCGTGAAATTGATAAACAGATTTCGGATTTCAAAACATACTTTCGCTTTGTAGATACAAATTACATATTAGTAAATATATATGGAAATTCTATTTGACATAATCTTTCTGATCTATCATAATCTAATAATGACGTTTCTGCCCCCCCCCCTCAGCCGCAGAGCAGCGTGAAATTGATAAACAGATTTCGGATTTCAAAACATACTTTCGCTTTGTAGTAAATATATATCGGAAATTCTATTTGACATAATCAAAAGTTCAAGCTTACTTTTATAAAACTGCTCTAACAGTCTTCAAAAAATAATAAGCCGGATCCAATTCGAAGATTAAGGAACAACGCAATCTGCAACATTAACTGAATTAGATAACTTTAGCTTAGCGTATAACTCCGTTACACATTAAACGCGCATGCGCACAAACATATTCGCAGCTGTAAGGGTCTTATGCGCTCTCGTAAACGCCTGTGCGCATGCGTGAACGCGACGCATGCGCAGGAAGTTTGTAGCCTTGAGGTCCGGATTATAGATCATTCCGGATTATGGGTGTCCGAATTAACGACTTTTGACTGTATATAATAGCTTAGCATATATAAAAAATAACAGAGATGAACATCACATATAAGTCATTCAACACAATCAGAGAAGAATTATAGGCAGAATTTCACACTGTAGCAGGTATGCTAGTTTGAAAGTCAGCCGGTATACCCTGACATGAGTGAGGTCAGTTCAGTGCTTCACCGATAACTGCCAGAGATGGATTGCCCTGTCCAGTTACAAATTTACCTAAACTGGACGAGAGAAAAAGCTGGTAGATTTTGGATCTTTTTGCTATCTAAGAGTTCTCCACAATATTCAGTTCATTTATTAATTTAACAAAAGAAATTAAAAATTTTGCAAATAAATCAGGTTGCTTAGTAATGTACTGAAGCTAAAATGACTAAAGATGTAACTGATTGCATTATTTATTTATTCAGATGTTGTTTTGAAACTTCTTTCTTTTTTTTTTTTAAGAGAAAAGTGTTTGTGTTTTTTCAATTTTTGTATAGATATTTTCTTTGTATTTTTCAGTGGAAAACCTTGGGCAGTATGTGCAAATCTTGAAAAAGATAAACATGCCAGGGATATCAAATTTCTTGATTCTTATGCAATGGAAAGATGGGAAGTAAGTTTTCAAGTTATTTTAATTACCGTATTTGATGGCATGTAAGACACACTTTTTTTCCTAAATTTGGTCTCAGAAAAGTTACCTGCGTCTTATACGGGAAGGACAAGTCTTATACATGAAGGTAATTGCATTCAATAATTGTTTATTTTTCTTTTACGAAACGTAAGAACTAAAAGAAACCACGTTATTGAAACTTTTTTTCCTTGTGTGTGGCCGTCTAAATAAGGGTGCGTCTTATATGCCGTCAAATACAGTACTCCTTTCAAAAAAATTCTGGGTAATTTTTTGCAAATTTGGGCATTTTGTTTTCATATTTCATGATGTAAGTTGTACCATATTTGAAACTTAGTTGATTGCATTGTTATATTTTTAGGCACTTTTGCATTTCATGGTTGGTTCAAAGCAAGCTGAAAATACTGTGAGTAACGATGCAATAAAAGTGTTGCTGCATTCAGGATTGATGCGAAAGTAAGATATTAGAATTTAATCTATATCTGACTTTTTTTTTTTTTGCTTTATTTGACACTTTTAATAACAGATATAGAAATATATAGAAAAATAGAAGAAATAGAGGAAGATAAAATGTGTTCATTTTTTGATAAACAAATCAGTTTATAATTGTTTAATGCATTTTTAAAACTTTATTATTTTTTACTGCTGCATATTATCTATCTAGTTAGAACTGTTTGTTTATAATTTTATGTATGTTTTATTATTGATTTTAATTAGTTAAATAATTTTCATTTTTAAGAATTTAATTATTAAAGCAGAAAACTGCTAACTATGAAGTAAACTTATTTTTACTTTTGGTTTGAAACAAAAGTTGTATAATTCTCCTTCGAATGAACACTACTTATTTATTGGTTGGCTTGTTTTTTATCAAATGGCATATAACTTTAGGTAATAAAATATCCGATGTAGTTTTAAAATGATTAATTGAAATAAATTAATGTTCTTATACATGCTTAACTATGTAAAAATACATTGACAGTGGGAGCTTTCATAGATAGTTTATCTACATTTTTATCCGAAATCTGATTGAGTAGTGATCTTATGATCTCTTCATTTTGTTTATTCATTTCATTTTATTTAATCATAAATAAAATAAAATATCATAAATAACGCATCGTTCAATAAGTCCCGGGACTAACCAAAAGATGGTGTTAGTAATATCAACTTGACTTCATTGTTCGAAAGAACTAACCTTCAAATGACACGTGTCTGATTTTCAAGGCATTCGGATCAGAAACAGCGAAGCTACTGTGGTGTGACACTACTTGTGCATTTGGTAGACAAAATGGAGAAAAACGAATTTTGAGTGTTGATCAAACATTGCTATTTAATGGGCAAAAATTCTGTGCAAGCTCAGCAATGGCTTGAAAAATATTATCCATACACTGCTCCATCAAAAACAACCATTTGCCGTTGGTATGCTGATTTCAAGCATTATTGCATGGATACAAATGATGCGGCACTTTCAGGTAGGTCAAATAAAGCAGTCGCTCCGGAAAATGTGAAAAAAGTGTTGAGAATCGTGATGAATGACCGCAAAGTGAAAGTTCGTGAGATTACTGAGATGGTAAACATATCGACTGGAAGTGCATGTATGATTTTACATGAAAAGTTTGGAATGAAAAAAGTGTTTCCCAAATGGGTGCCACATGTGCTCACAATGGAGCAAAAGCAACAAGTTGATGATTCACAGAGCTGTTTGTCGCTGTTTACTCGCAATAAACAGGATTTCTTGTATCGATGTGTGACAATGGACGAAACATGGATCCACTATTTCACTCTGGAGTCAAAGCAGCAGTCAGCGGGTGCAGCCGGTGAAAGCCATTCAGAAGCATCCAAAAACGCTAGCAGTCAGCTGGCAAAGTCATGGCGTCTGTGTTTTGGGATGCGCGAGGAATAATTTACATCGACTACCTTGAAAAGAGAAAAATTTATCGACAGCGCATATTACAGTGAGTTATTGATATATATGAAGGCCAAATTCGCAAAAAAACGACCGCACATGAAGAAAACATTCATCTTCAGTCAAGACAATGCCCCATGCCACAAGTCAATGCAAACATTGGTTGCAATGAACGAGTTGGGCTTCACTCTGCCTCTCCACCCACTATACTCCCCAGATTCCAGTCCCCAGTGACTACTGGCTGTTAGTTGATCTCAAAAAGATGCTCCAGGTGAAAAGATTTGGCTTAAATAAGGAAGTCATCCCTGCCACTGAAGCTTATTTTGCGGACAAGGACAAACTTTTAACAAGCATGTTATCGAAAGTTAGAAAACCCTTGGAATGATTGCATAGCTCTTCATGGTGATTATGTTGATGAATAAATGTGAGTTTTTTTTAAATGGAAGTTGTTTTCTTAGTTAGTCCCAGGACTTATTGAACCATGTGTTAAATAATAAATCATAAGTAAAATTTTAATAATTTTTTGTTATTAATTTTATTTATTTGTTTATTATTCTCATTTCCCTTGCTACAAAGAATTACTTGCTCAGAAATAAAGATTACCACAGAAGTGTTCTGCCATTTTATAAATGCAATTTCTCTTCATAAGCTTATATACATTTTTCTCACTGTTTCATTTTAAAACTTTATATTTGTATTTTATACTAGACACATAACATTATATTTTAATTACTAACTATCCAACATCCAAAAATGAAACTGTTATAAAGATTTGAAATGTTCAAAGGTTATAAAACAAGGTCTTCACCCTCTTTTAAAATCAGAATGTAGCAGAACCCCCCCCCTAAAAAAAAACAACTAATAATATGATTTTCTAGAATTTTTTTAACCTTTTTACTGTGAAGTTATTTTGATGATTTGGATGCATAAATTGTCAATTTTTTTTTTTTTTTTAAATTCCAAAATTGAAATGTTTGTCTTGCAATCAAAAATGCCGTGCGCTTTGAACTTTAATCTGCATCCTTTGAAACCTTCAGTAAAGTGCTGCCATCTGTTGAATTGAAGCTGAAATAAACTTACACGATATATCGGGTTAAAACAAACAAAGCCTAAAAAAAAAAAAAAAAAAAAAAAAAAAATTAGCTCGAGTAATATTCGAGTGTGACATTTTGGAATACAGTGCTGTGCCAAGATTATTTTGAGCATGACAGTTAAAAGGTTAAAATAGCTGCATTTTATAAGTTTTTTTTTTTTTTTTTTTTTTTTTTTTAAACTCATAGTATTGTTAAATATTTTGAAAACTTTACTGCTGATTTTCAAATTATTCCCTGATAAGCTATGGAGATCAAAGTATGCACATTCAGTCATCATGAGTGAATAGAATGTGGTAAAACAACTTTTTCCAAAATTTTTTTAGATTTTTAAAAATTTTATGTTGAAATGATTTTTTGCGCATATCTTTGTTTAATTCATAAACTCTCAGAATTTTACTGTTTGTAACATCAGAGAGATTGCGAAAAAACTCTTTTGAATGATATTTATATGAGATTTTAATGTGATATTTGATTTTTTTGGGGCAAATTTCTGTATTCCCCCTTCCCCCCTATTTGGTGTAACAAAATTGTTGGAAGTGAAAGAGTGATTATTCATTGTTTAAAAAATGTTCTTTTCAGGGGAATAATTTGATTGATGTGACCAAAAATATGAAAATTAAAAAATAGTGCAAAAAGTCTATAAGCTTTAATTTAAAACTCATAATTGATGAACTAAAAGGAGAAAAATTATTTATCTTCTAGTTTAATGGTAACATGAGATTAAGTAATTCTGTCTACTATATTCATATACAATTTTATATCACATATAACAAAAGTGGCCTAAATAACAAAGTCTATTAATCAAAATGCTTTGCCAAAAGCATAAGCCATTATCTTTATGTTGTACCTGACTATTTAGCAAATGATGATATAAAATTGTAAGTGAATTTTGTAAAGAGAATTACTTAATCATGTATTCACATTAAACTGTAGCATATTGTTCTCCTTTTAGTTCAGTAACTATTTATGAATTTCAAATAAACACTTATTTTATTTTAAATTTTTTTTTTTTTTTTTAACTTTTATCTGAAGGCTATGGAAATAAAATGTAATGATTACTTACACAATATCATTTCATTTAGATATTTTTTCCCATAATTTGATTATAGAAATTCTTTTATTCATGTACATTAAGCATCTGATATTTTTTCAGAGAAAATGATTTAAACATTATTACAACAGAGGGGTTTCAATTCCTGTTGATGACTACAGCATCTCAAGTATGGCATTTCATGCTTCAATACTTAGACACTATTGAAGTAAGTTAGAAGGAAAGCTTTTGTTTTTCGTAGAAGTAATTTTGAGAATGTTTCAATAAATTCATAAGTTTGTCTGTATTTTTTTTTTTTTTTTTTAACTACAGTTATTCAAATAAAACAAAATTTGAAAAGTAGGCCTCTATACACAGAATATTGGGATGAAATTTGCTTTAATCAGTTCTTTTTCATTGAATGAGTTAAACACACTCAAAAAACTAATTTGAAATACAAATCGCCTGGAGGAGGGTCTCCTAGACCTGGCATACTCAAGGCAGCTTTAACACGGTTAAAAATACCTCAATCCCTGGAGGCTATCTGAGGAGGTGCCAACCTCTTCGGTCAATCCAGAGGGACTTAAATCTTTCACATACACAATTATAAGTGTGCAAGAACAAATGAGAACGAAGCCACACAGTTAGACATCGTCCATCCCTCAGCATTGACCAAGTAGAGCCCATGCCCCAAGGACAATCTGTGATATCTAACCATATAATGTCTCCACAACCAAGAAGCGGACAAAGCAGTACCAGTACGGTTCCTGCCGAGCCTGAATCTACCACCGAATAAATGATGGCTCTAATCACTGTGAAGTCAGTGTATTTACCCCTGAAGTTGAGGCTGTCTAGATATTGATCTAGTCAGTATGCTGGGATTGCTTAATCCCAGTCGATGCCTGGGGATAATATCCGGACATAGTCAGCCCAGGCAAACCTGGTTACCTACCAACAGGGCCATGAGGAGGCTGATATCGGATTAGGACAATGAGAAGCTATCATCATCACTGCCCCGTAGTTATACCCACTTTCAGAAGGTCCAGATCAAACTCTAGATGTCCTCTAATAAAATGGTCAGTTCCGGAAATCCGAACCTTCCCAACCTCGAGGGAGCACAGCTAAATACAATCGCATCTCAATTAAACAAACTTTTCTGTTTACTCTGCAAAAGTTAAAGAAAAAAATATTTCATATTTCTTACTCATGTTACCATCTTCATGCTTTTATTCCATGTGGATCAAAATCTTTTTTTTTTTTTTTTTTTTTAATTGTTGAAATCATGCTTTCCAAAATGTAATCAATGGAGTAACTCACTTTAGTTCACTGTAACTCAGCAGCAAACAGTATGTTTTTTGCAGCAGTTTGGTTTGCGATGAAACAATGAAGTAAAACTTCCTGCAAATGCTTTTTTTTATGGGGTAAAAATAAGTACTGTTTGCACTTTAAGTGGATTTAACATTCTGATTATTAAAAACTTGTTAAACCTTTCAAATAAAAGTGTCATTTACATCAATAATTCTGCTGATTGTATCTGTTAGAAAAAGACTGAATCATATTTATGTACCCAATAAACAATCATGAATGAAGTGTCTTTAACATTGATCATTTATAACATTTTGTCACTGTTTTATATAATAATTTGTACTTTTTCTAGGAACGTGGATTAAACTTAGTTGATTGTCTGACATTTCTTTTCCAGCTTAGTTTCCTTACATTAGGAAAGGTATGCTTTTAATACAATTTCTTAACTAATTTATTTATTTAACTTGAAATAAATCTATTTTGTATTTCAATCTTATTTCTGTTGCATATTTGATAAATTATTTAACTTCTATCTCTGTTTTTTCAAAAATTTATTTGCATGAAAGAGAGTAACAGAATTTCTAGAACAAAAATGTTGAAAATTAATGAAAGAGTTTTAAATAATAATAAAAAATGTCTAGCTTATTTGCAACAAAAAATCCTTTCTTTATTGAAGTCACTGATTCAAATGGATTAGCTTCTATATCTTGTGTATAAGTCTGAGTGAAATTAATGTAGAGTTGCAACTTCTCCTGATGTAAGCAGGAGACTTCCGATTTCCGACCATACTCCCAACAACCTGATTTGCAACACATTTATCTCGACTTTCTCTTATTCAAAAAATTTCTCACTATTTTTATGTAGCTTGGCATAATTTACTTGGCTTAATAGTTCGTTATTTGCCCCCCAAAAAGTGATTTTTGGCATCTGAAAGTGCTTGGTTTTTCTCTAGATATATATAAAAGCAAATTGAAGTTGTTTCATCGGTGCGCTTTTGCTTTATGTGTGTGAAACCGAAAAGGTCGTGTTCCAGTTCTCCAATGAGAATCAAGCACTGCTGTGCATCATCTAGCATATATTAGACAATGAACACAAAGCAAGATCAAGGTTGTTATTTCGTTTGTCTCACCAGTGAGTAATGTAAGTTTCACATGCTTCCAAGAAACAGTTTAAGAAACTGCAATCTTTTATATTAGTTATATCTGCAAAACATGTAAAATACTCATGTACCTTCCAAAAATCATGTTCATATGACTTTCCTTCCATTATTTCATAAAGGAAATGTAATTTTTTTGCAATGTGTACCATGTGTCATTGAGATTTTTCGATTTCGCATGGTGGAAGGGCCAAAGGACAATGTAAGTTGTATTGAAGGGGGGGAGTTAATTTTTTTGTGTAAACAAAGAACAAAAATGTCATTAATGTAGAATGCCTATTCTCTGCCTTTTTACTGGAGCACAGCCTGGAACTGAATGCATCGGATCATGCTGCAGCTTTATTTAGAAAAATGTGTCCGAGAAGTGAAATCACTGAGAAATACTCAAGTGCAAGTACAAAAACAGCTGTAGTTATAGAAGAGAAGGCTTCAAGAAACCTGTAAGAAAAATAAATCTTCAGTTATGGATCGTATTAAAACAACTCCCTTCTGCCCCTCTATGGATGGAAGCAATAATACTCATGCAAAACTGTATCCAATTGTTTTTTTTTTTTTTTTAATCCATGGTCTTCAAAAATTAAGTGTAGTTTACTTTCTGTCCCCAATTCAGAAGGAGAACTGATAGGCTTTAGCACAGCTAATTATTAAAATTTTAAAAGAAAGTTTAATTATTCAGGATTATTGTTTAGCACTTAGAGCTAACAAGTGCACCAGAAATGGTTGGCTTGAAGACTGATGTTGCAGGCGTCTTAAAAAAAGAAAATTTAGGTTTGCAAATTATGAGGTCCATCTGTCACCTCATAAATTTAGCAGTTGAAAAAGGGGCAGTTTCTTTATCAATAAGTGTGGAATGAATACATTTTTGATATTTATTATTATCTTGTAAAGATTTCTAGGAAAAATTGAAACAATTCCAAAAGTTGCATAATACTAAGATAAGAAAAAAAAATCTGAAGCATATATATACATACTGGTTATATTTAGAGAAATGCTTATATAGTATCTTTGACCTGACATTTTTAAAGGAAGAAGTAAATGCTTCTAGAGTTAAGATAAAAGGCTCTATTGAAAGTTATAAAATACCTTAAGTAAATGGAGAGGTAGTTATTTCTTCTACTCTTAAAAATAGATGTGAGAAAAATTCAATAATTTATGCACCTGGACCAACTTAATTGGCAATTCTGAAAATAATACTACAAAATATAAGCTGAAAGCTCCCTTCCCCCCCCCAGAAAAAAAATGCTTGACAAGGGACACATTTTCCGATTATTGTAAGTTTATCTTGTGAAGAACGAATATTTATGTTTTTGTCTTCAAACCTTAAAAAAGCTTTTTGCTTTTTTGTATGCTCCATTTTGCCATCCTTTGATGTTCTTAACACAAGTCTGCAACTTAGAATTCCATTAATTCATGTTTTGCAATCAATGATTAGTGATCTGGTTAAAGAATTATGTATTGATTAGTGAAATGGTATAAAAAAGTTACAAGTAAAAAAAAAATTTTTTTTACATGTAAATATTTTTGTATTATTTGCATTTAAGAATTAGTAACTGAACTTTCAGATATTAATTTATTACTATGTAAAGTTAATTCATTATTAAAAATGTAGTTTTTCCTCTATATTTTTATTATTTAAAAAGTCTTTCTTTGAGGAAATTCTTCCAATTTCTTAAAAAATCTTTAGATTTTTGTAGGTTAGAAAGTATGTTAATGATGAAATTTTAAATTATTGTAATGAGATATTCAAGCTGAAAAGTATTTTATCATAAGTAGGTCACGTATAAATTGAATAAAATATACTTATATTTTGTCAATGTAATGTTATTATACACTGGTGTGCAAAACTTAAGCAACAGGTGTTCTTTTTCCATAACTCTACAAAAAATCATCCGAGAGACATGAAATTCAGAAAGGAGAGACAGCATTTTGTATTTAAACGATGACAAAAGCATAGTTGAGCAAAAATGAATGCAATGCATACAGTATGCAATCAAACAAACAAACAAAAAAAGGCTTTATTGAACTCATCGTTACACATGATTGTCTGTACAAAAGGAAGAACAACTAGCAGATGTTCCTTAGTATGGAATATGCCCTCCCCTTACTGCAATGGTTGCTTTGCACCGTTTGCTCATACTTAGCACCAGATTAATCCAATAGTTCATGAGATAAGAGTGCTCATTTCTCAATCAGCATCTGTTTCACTTGTTGGGTGTTCCCGATAATGTAATCGTGCCGCAAGACGTCTCCCCAAAGTATCTCACACATGTTCTATGGGATATAAATCAGAGGAGTATGCTGCCTAATCCATTCGAGTAAAATTTTCACTTTCCAGTAGTTTCTGAACAGCAGGAGTCCAGTGTAGCCATGCATTGTCATCCATAAAAACAAAGTCTGCTCTAATGGCACCTCAGAACAGATGGACTTGGGGAAGGTTCATCTCCTGACAACAGCGATCTCCGGTTACAGAATGTCTGTCGAAAAGGGAAGCTCTGTTCGCCTGTTCAGCGTAATGCCTCACCAAACGAGAACTCCAGGATCACCATAACGGTCTCTTTCCGTGATGCTACTGGGATGAAAATATGTCCCGACTTCTCTCCAAATCAACTGGCATTGACATTCTCTTGTGACATTAAAACGACTCTCATCCATAAAGAAAACACTACACCATTGATGAGATGCCCAGGTTTGTGCTCCTTGCACCACTCTAAACGGTGGCGCCGATGGCCAACTTTCAAAGGGATTTAGCGTTCAGGACGGCGGGCGAATAGGCCATCTTTGTGAAGGTGTCTGGACACAGTAAACCGCGACACTTGTCACCTCGTTGCTGTGTACAGCTGTTGGGCTGTGGCACCTGCTGTCTGGTTTCGGATTCTTTTCGCCTGTAGGACGATATATCGGTCATCCATTCCAGTTGTTTACCTGGGGCGACCACCACCAACCTTTCTAACAGCTGTACAGGTTGTAAGGCTTTCCAAATTCGCAAAAGGACACTTTTGTTGATTCCGAACATTTCAGCTACACTGGTCACAGTGCACCCCTCCTCCAGCTTTCTGATCATTCTTCCAAATGGGAAGTCATCCAAGTGCTTTCTTCTAGCCATATTTCACACACACACACACACAAAAAAAAAAAAAAAAAAAAAAAAAAAAAAAAACCCTCACTTGGACTTGCATTGAATGTCTTGAATTGCATCTGCATCCTTCCTTTTATTGTAGTCCTGAGTTGAGGGCGTCGATTGCATGCGTTTGCTTACTCTCACGTCGCCTGTGACGTTTTGTTTCTGATCCATGCGCAATATCTTTCTACTGAATTGCGTGTTCATTGTACTGATCGCAAGAACCCCTTTTCTGCAATTTCATGGCTATCTGATTAAAATTTACATAGTTGCTTAAGTTTTGCATACCAATGTATAATGTAAGTACATATGTATTGAATCATTTTTCAATCATTGTTGAAAATTATAATTGTGATTTTCGTATAGGATTACAGTACAGGTGAAATGAATGAATCAATGTTGATGTTTCTTCAACATTTACGGGAGCTTGGTATAGTTTATCAAAGAAAGGTAGTTTTCTGATATTATAATCTTTCAATCATTTAAATTTTTTAAACAAATAATAATAATAAGGTAAGGAGCAAACATTTTTGTACATGTTTGCTTCTTTTGCAGAAAAGAAAAAGAGGTACATTAACAATATAGTTACATGTTATCTGATATTATTGCATTGAATAACTTAATCCTGATAATATTATGACCATTTTTATCTAGTCATGAGATTTATTGCCACTTTGTGCATATTGCTAATCCTGATAATATTATGACCATTTTTATCTAGTCATGAGATTTATTGCCACTTTATGCATATTGCTTTGTTACTTAAAATATTTTCCTTTCGCATTCACATATACATTTCTTGCTGATACTCTAATTATCATTTTAATGAATGGATGGTTACAAAAACAAAGAATGCAAATCTTGCATTAGCTCTTCATGAATGGATCCCAAATACCTGGCAATTGTTATTTGTATGTATAATATTTACAAATATTTATGACTTCATAGCAAGATTCCTTTTACTACACTTGCATTTATGTTATAAATATTGCCACTTGTATTCTAAACTATTTCTTACATAACTTTTAAAACAAATAAAAAATCATTCCTATAAACTTTGCTACAACTTGTAATTGAATATTAGTTCCAAACATTTTCATTAGAAATCACCTGAAAGTGTTTTCCTACGAAATTTCAGATTTTCAGGCTTAGAAATCACCTGAAAGTGTTTTCCTACGAAATTTCAGTAGTCACCTAAGTTTATTATTCAATTTATATAAGAATGCATGGAGTCGATTACTTATGTTGGAAATTATTATTAAATCACAAATTTTTATGGTGTTGGTGTTGGTGTATTCAATTATGGCAGAGCACACGAGGGCTATCTGCCTAAAGGGAGGGATGCCTTTCGTGAAGGGATTTCTAGGGAAAATTCCGAAAACGCCACCATGCAAAATTCCACAGATGCACACCTAAGAGGCATCTACCAAGTTTTGGTGGTCACGTCTTTACCGCTCGGCCTGGTGGCCACAAGGTAGACAGGCATTATTTGTGAGATTTTATATAGGCCGGGTGAAAATCAGCCCCCAGCGGCCGCCAGCAAAGTCGCGAACGGTAGCGCCAGGGTCGAGCCCAGCAACGCGTGGCTGCAGGGTTTTTCGGTTTTCCACATGTCCGCCAGTTCCCGTCGAAATCTCACGAAGGCATCCCTCCCCTTGGGCAGATAGCCCTCATGTGCTTTGCCATAATTAAATACACCATTTAAAATATCAGTTTGAATATTTGAATTAAAAGACAATTTTCTTAAATCATTGCCTGGAAGCTCAGTGAAATAAGTTGTCTTCTGCGGTGCTTGTCAGAAAAATAAGAGAGGTATCTTTTGTAAGTATTTGTACTTTGATTGCATTGAAAATTTCCTGTCTTGTTTGCCTTTCCCTTTTTATTTGGAATAGCTAGCCTATTATATTAACCTGCTTGATATTAGGATTTTATACACAATAACTTCTAAAATGTCATATTTCTACCCCAGATCAACAGAGTATTAACCCCAGATCAACAGAAAATTTTATTTATTTTTAATACTAATGTTTGTTTAAATTTATATTTTTTTATGTGTCTCTAAATATCTCGATAAATACCCTTGCGTAATGCTTAATGCAATTTAACATTTTAATTCATCTTTTAGCTAAATATAAATTTACAGAATTTCCCTTTGAATATCATGAAAATATTCTGTGTACATAATTATGTTAATTTATTAATAACCATATAATTAGAATGCATTCAGTACAAAGATAGCTTATATTTTAAGCTTCAGTAATCCACTGAGAGAAATGTATGCATTATATACAAATAGGGATTCAAATTAATATAATGAAATTTCAGAAGAAAAATACAGTTTCCACATGAAAAGACCTAAATTCGAAAACCTTTTCTATTCTACACCTATGTCAGAATAAAGAAAGGCATTTCTGTCGCGTTTTGTTCTTGGACAGAACTCCCAAAAACTCTATGTGGATATTTTTCTTTCTTGATTGTTTGCAACTGAATTGTGGAGAGGAAAGAAAGCATGCTTTGCAAATCTGGGGATGCTTGCTTCCTGCACTTGATTTAATCAGATATTGAGCATCTAGTGGCTCCAAATGTTTGAGTGAATCATTGTGAAAGAATTCCTTTATCCTAAAGTAGCTTGAATAAACAAGGGAAAAGGTTAATCAGAATTAGGCAAACTATGTGTTGTGTTATATTTTTGTTTATCTTGTCATGCAGCAGTATAATGGACTTAATAAATATTGTATTATATAATTGATTGTATAAATAATATAT